CATCTCATCTTCTGTCATCCCCTTCTCCTCCTGCCTTCAATCTTCCCAGCATCAGGGTCTTTTCAAAATGTTTGTCTTAAGCTATGTTAATGAACTATGTATTTACCCTAGACTCTGTCTTTCTTCAAATTGGTTCCGCCTAAGACTCAGAACCTGCTGGACAAACCAATTTGTTTTACTCATGCAAATGTTCTCTTAAGCTATGTTAATGAGACTTCTATTTGCTTGAAAATCTGCCTTTCTTCAAGATTCATGTTAATCCTTTTATGGCCCAGGATGACTTATCTGGTGCCAATGTTATCTCAAAATGCATGTTGTGGGTGAGCGGCCTGGTGCCACTCTGAGTTTTGAGACATCTCCTTTCTATAATTATTAACAGCTTGCTAGTAGCTATATAACATCCGGCTAAAGACTAGCAGAGGGGCAGTCTTTCTACCCCCTTCTGATGTCTGTGTCAGAAGCTTTCTCTATTTCTTTTATACTTTAATAAAACTTGATTACACAAAAGCTCTGAGCGATCAAGCCTCATCACTTGGACTGAATTCTCCTCCAGTGGCCAGCGTCTTTCGTGGTTCAGCAACAACCTTCCTCTTGGGGGCTTGTCTGGGATCCTTCAGGACAAGGTAAGGATGCTTGGAGCTCTAGTACTTTGTCCTCCTAGCAAACACGTTTTCTGCTGTACTTTACTAACTCTATGGTGTGTTTGTGTGAATGAATGACATGCCCTGCGTGAAGCAAATGAGGAGCCCTGCTCTGCGGTTCTGGGGTGACCTCATAAGGCTTATGGCAGAAACCCTGCCCACCTGCTAATGTCAAGAGGCAACCAATGTCTCCTTCAGGGAGCAGCCAGAGATGGTTCCTTCAGGGAACGGCCAGAGAGAGTGTGGACCGAACTCTCCTTTCTCAGTCAAACTTTCCTATCTCTTTGACCATTTCATGACTTCTTGGGAATTAGAACTACTAACCTAATCTGCCAGATCATAGACTTTCAAGGGACTTGTGATCTATGCTGTTACCGTGTACTGTTACTTAGGTCCCAAACATGGACTGGTAGTCAGGAAGCGCCTAGCCTCCCTAGGAGTTGAAAGTTCGGAAACTCGAAGGAGCTCTAGCTTCAAGAGCATCTCTCAGGTTAAAGGTTACTCAGATAGGAAGTCCAACGGGCTTCCTCCTTTGGTAACGCTAGCTCTTAGTGGACTAGAGGAGGCTCTCCAGTAACTTTTGTCCCAACTCCGCATATGTTCTTTCTGTGGAATCGGTGGGAATGAACTGAAGGACTGGCCCTAATAACTTGAGGACAAAAATCACTTTTTCCTCACTGGCCAGGCCTTCACCATCTCTTTTGCTATTGCTTATACTGGTGGTGTGATGCTCGGAAGGAACATATCGGTTTTATGTTTGTACCGGTCTTATTACGGTCAGGAATATACTGAGGGTTGTGCACGGGCACTCAGATGATGAATGTTTCCCCCAGAGGTCTTAGCTTGGGAGGCATTCTGGAAGGTTACTCTGATTGCACCCCGGGTGGCATCGGAGGCAAGCAAGGTTTTAATAGTGAGGAGCTGGACGCCAGTCAGGGATGCCATCAGGTCTACCGCTGGTGCATCTCCACCCTGCCTCGGTGGTAGAGCCAGGATGGACTAGTACAGCCCCTGCGTCAGTAAGGGACAGACTAAGTCCGACCAGGGAAGGAAAGCTTCAGTGTAAAGTCTGTCTACACCCCCATCTAGAGCAGGGAGAGATACCTCTGGTAGAGAGATGGCATTGTCACTTTTTTCTCTCTTACAGATGGGAGCCAACAATTCCAGCCTCACTCCTTTGAACTGTATCCTGAAAAACGGGGATAGATTTGGTCCCCAGAGCTTACAGAAGACACGCCTGATCTTCCTATGTGATACTGCACAGCCACAGTATCCATTGGAGGGCAGCAAACGATGGCCGGTTGGAGGGTCTCTTAATTATAATGCTGTTTTACAATTAGGTCGGTTCTGTAGAAGACAAGGGAAGTGGGTAGAAGCAGCGTATGTGTTGCCCTTCTTCTCTCTGAGAGGCATGTCAGACTTACGTCCTAAGGGTATAGATTTGGGTATGACGCCTTCGGCTCCCTCCTGTCCTCCTACTTTACCCCCGTACTCGGGGCTCCAAACTGAAAGTCAGAGACCCCCCCAGGAAGGGTTGCCTTGGTCTCAGTAAAAACCCAAACTGACGTTCAAACTGCCCAAGTAGAGGTCCAAACAACCCCTGTCTCAGTATGACCTCAGACTACTCTGGTTTCAATAGAAACTCAGACAATCGAAGTAAGAGAAGCTCAGAGAGCAAAAACTAAGGGTGAAATACAGGATGAGATGGAGGACCGGAGACAAAGAGATAAAAATGTCTGACACCTGCAGCCTATTTCCTCCGTTTGGAGAACTCTGGCCTTCCTGCCTGTTACCCTCTCAGTAGCATTAACTATTAATGATGCTGATGGGTATTGAATGCCATATACTATATGGTACATATATCAAGACATTTCATTTGCCACCTACTGTCCTGATTTGCAGATTATTGTGTAAGTTCACAGAGTAAAGTCACTTGCCCCAGACCATTTAGAATGTACTAGAGCAGGGATTTAAACCCAGAATAACAATAACTATTACCTGAATTGTGTGGGGAGATGGGAGAGATTCAGGAAGAAAAAGTTATCACTGGATAACAACATAACTATAGATCCAATCCATCTTTTCTAGGCTGCTATAGTCTGCTAGGCTAAAACAAAAACTATAGACTGAAAGCCAGTTCTGGAAACTGGCAAGTCCCAGATCAAGGCACCAAGAGATTCGGAATCTAGTGAGGACCAACTTCCTGTTCACAGAGAGACATCTTTTCATGGTGCCCCATGTAGCAGGAGGAGGCCTTTTTTACAAGAACATATTCCCATTTATGAGGGCTGTACCCTCAGGACCTAATCACCACTGACAAGTCCCACTGCCAAACACCATTACATTGGGGATTAGGCTTCAGCACTGAATTCTAGGATAACACAAACTCTTGATCTATAGAACAGGCTTTTCAAAAAATGGTTTGTATCTAAAGGTAGAAATGGTACCCAATGTAGCATGGTCTTACACTGATAAGACTGAATTGGTCAACATTTACTGAGTATCTATTATATGAATTTCAATAATAAATAGCATCTCAGGGTCTTGAAATGAGTGGTACTTGTCCCATCTGATGGTAGAGGCTAACAGGTGCCCCCAGGGCACATTGCTCAAAGGGCAGCATAAGCAGACGAGAAAGTGGGGAAATATATATACACTGTCAGAAAAACACTCACCAGCTGTCCACTCCTATTTGTTTTCCTGCTTCATATAAGCCATAATCGACTTTGGAAACCCATTAGACGAAAATAAATGTTTGACAAGGATTTTTCTGGATATATACCTAAACCCGTTAGAAATGAAAATATCCCTCAGGCCCCAGTGAGACTGGCTGCCCAAATCATGAAGCTCCTCTTAGTTATGTAAACAACTGTCAATGCAAACAGGTACCAGCAGAAGCTGTTAGCCAAATTCTCCTCCTGCACAAAACAGCATGTTTCAGAGACGTGTTTCCAGGTATACACATGCAGACATGTGTTCTTTGGTGCAGATTAGGTTTCAAGGAAGAACACATGAAGTTTGATCACTGAGAGATGTTTTTGCATTAAACCACAACGTCATAGAATTCATTCTGAGAAGGGAATGACTTTGAGGTTTCAGAGGGACGGTTCATGATGGAGCGTAAGGGTGTGGGTTACTCTCGGGGTGATGAGGGAGCAGGCAGACATTGGATTCCCAGACCAGTCTCGTGCTCAGCGTCTGCGAGGGCCCAGCAGGCACAGCAAGTCGAGAGTCAGGCCAGGGAGCAGCCCGGCTCCCCTGCCCCCTGATCATGCCTGCTGTGGGGAGGTCATTCTGTGTCCAAATGCATCCAATTCTCCAGGGAAGACATACAACTAGATTTTACAGATATCTTCATATTTTACTTATTTTAAAATTAGTTTTACTTATTTGTTTTTTTGACCACACTGGGTCTTCCTTACTGAACATGGGGAACTCTTCAGCTGCAGTGAGCAGGGGCTACTCTTCATGGTGGTGCCCGGGTTTCTCATCGAGGTGGTTTTTCTTGTGGAGCACAGGCTCCGGAGCATGGGCTCAGCAGTTGTGCCACATATGCTTAACTGCTCCGCAGCGTGGGGTCTTCCCAGACCAGGGATAGAACTCATGTCACTTGCATTGGGAGGTAGAATCTCAACCACTGTACCACCAGGGAAGTCCCAATATCTCTGTATTTTAAAAGGAGGATGGAGTCTGTGGGCTGCTGAAGCCCTCCAGAATGCCTCGTTTCATCTCTGACCCAGAAGACAAGCAGTTGACTCAATATTAGTACAGAATAGTCTGCTTAGTCATTTGGATGAAGCCAGGCTGACAGTGGAAATCCTGGTGAGATGTAAAAACCTAAGTTACGGAGCATTTGTTGCTGTCTACAACACATTCCAAGTACAGTAGGCACTCAGACACAGGGTGAGCCTTGACGATAGAAAAGGAGTCAAGGATAGAAGCCACATGTGTTCTGTGCTAACCCTCACCCTAAAACACCAAACGCTGCTTTTACATTTGATGCGGCCATTTGGATGGCACAGGATAACGACCAGTTTCCAAATGCTTTTTCTCTCAATAAGACTGCCACATTGAATGCCCTGGGGCTATAAGTGGCATGTCTCCACAGCCAGCAGCTGGGCCAAGTCCAGTTCCGTGGATGGCTGTTTTCAGAGCATGGCAGAATGCGTCAGTCAATGTCTCGGCCAGTGGGAGAGTGGGCAAAACAGGTGATGTATTAGTTTCCGATGGTCGTTTCGGACCACAGAGACACTAAGCAACACAAATTTAATTGCTCACAGTTCTGCAGGCCAGAAGCCCAAAATCAAGGTGTCAGCAGGGCCACACTCTCTCAGCTCTAACTAAAAATATATTCCTCACCTCTTCCAGCTTCCGATCACTACTGGCATCCTTGTCTATGGCCAGATGTCTCTCCGCTCTGTCCTCCCACTGACTTCTTGACTGTCTTCTCTTCTGAGCATCTCTCTGATAAGGATAACTGTGACTCCATTCAGGGCCTGACTAGATAACTCAGAATAAGTGCTTTCTTTCAAGATGATCAACATATCACATCTACCATATACAGTAATATTCACACTTTTGCCATATAAGACGTGAGATAACAGAAAACATGTACTTGTCTCTGCCTCCTGTTCCTGGCACAGACCTCCTAAAACCTTTATAAATTCCTAAGCAACTAGAATACTAGCATCATCTCTTATTCTATTATTTGCCTGTGACATCATCTCTGCTGCAGGGCTCCTAAAACCCTTGTAAATTCTCAAGTGATAAGAGCTCTAGGAACATCTTTTGTTGTAATAAGGTGGCTCTGGATGGCTCCCAGGTGGGGCTGGTCACCAGAAAGACCAAGCCATGATGACAAACTTGGACCTTTCAGCCCCACATTGCATCCTCCAGAGAAGAGCTAGAAATAGAATAATTCATCATGCTTATATGAGGAGGTCTCCATAAAAATCCCAATAAGCATAGGTTTCAGACATCTTCCATGTTAGCAAAACACAGACATACCAGGAAGGTGGGTGATGCACCCCAACTTCCGGGGACCAGAAGTTCCTGTGCTCAGGACCCTCCCAGACTTGGTCTTACATACCTCTTCATCTGGCTGTTCATCTGTATCCTTTTCCACACCCTTTAGTAAACTGATAAATACAAGTGTTTTCCTGAGTGCTGTGAGCTGGTGAAGCAAATCAATCAAACCTAAAGTGAAAGCCGCTCAGTCATGTCTGACTCTTTGCCCTTTGTGACCCCGTGGACCATAGCCTGTCAGGCTCCTCTGTCCATAGAACTCTCCGTGTCAGAATACTGGAGTAGGTAGCCTTTCCCTTCTCCAAGGGATCTTCCCAACTAAGGGATCGAAGCCAGGTCTCCCACAACTCTGGCAAATTTTTTACCATCTGAACCACTAGGGAAGCTCAAGAATCCTGGAGTGGATAGCCTATCCCTTATCCAGGGGATCTTTCCCGGCCCAGGAATCAAACTGGGGTCACCTGCATTGCAGGTGGATTCTTTTATCAGGTGAGGTACCAGGGAAGCCCCAATCAAACCTAAGGAGAGGTTATGGGTACCTAGGATTTGCAGCCAGATGAGACAAAAGTTGTGGGTTACATGGGGATCTACTATTTGTGACTGGCTTCTGAAGCAGGAGGGGAGCAGTCTTGTGGGACTCAGTTCTCAGCTCATGGACTCTGACTCTCTCTCCAGAAAGATGGTGCTAGACTTGAGTTGGACTGTAGGACACCCAGCGGTGTCACAGAGAATTGCTTGGTATGGAAAAACTCTCTCACACATTTGGTAACCAGGAGTGTCAGCAGAAAAGGAGACACAAAGGGAATAAATACATGGTAGGAAGAACTGGGTTTTTCTCTATGTGGGAGGGAAAAAACTAAGTTTTTCCTTTACATACGGTGATATTCACAAGTTCCAGATGTAGGGCCTGGGAATGCCTTCTGGGGCATCACGATTCAACTCACTGTGAGCAGGGAGTTGGGGCAGGTCGCAGAGACTGCAAAAGGTGTGAGAGAGAGGGTGGGATGAGCTGAGTGAGCAGCAGTGGACATATACATCACCATACGTGAACCAGATAGTGGGGAGTCACTGTTTAACACAAAGAGCTCGACCGAGCGCTCTGTGATAAGATAGAGGGATGGGATGCGGTGGAGGCTCAGAGGAAGGTTCAGGAGGGAGGGGCATAATGTATACTATGGCTGACTCACGTTGTTGTATGGCAGAAACCAACCCAATATTGTAAAGCAATTATCCCCCAATTAAAAATTTTAAAAAAGAAAACAAACAAAAAAGGTCTACCAGAAACCTAGAGTGCATCGCAGGATCAGTTCTGGGAAATCTCAAGAACCTTACAAGATTTCAATAAATGAATTTAAGTAGACCAGGCCAGGATGTGGTCACTGAAATGAGGGAACCCAGGTGACAGCTACTGGAGGAGAGGATATGGGTAATTTATGAGACGTGTTCACAAGGGTCAGAGGATTCCCTGGCCATGCATTTTTAGAAGAGCAGCAGGTTTCAGATCAGCTTACCGGCCAGGTGGCAGACGGACAAATGCAGCTGACACTGGTAACTGCTGAGAAGTATATTCAAGAATCTAATATAAACCTCAGCGATTTCCCCATGCCAGGGAATACTTTGGATGCTGAAATTCTGTAGAGCAAATCAAGATAAGAGGCTCTGGCTTACTTTATCAGTTAACTTTTAAAATGCAGATGGTCAACAATCAATGAAAAGATGTTCAACATAGCTAATCATTAGGGAAGTGTAAATCAAAACCACAGTGTCTGGCATTCTTCACAGAACTCAAACAAACAATTTTAAAATTTGTATGGAAACACGAAAGACACATATCAGAATGGCCATTATCAAAAACAACATAAATAACAAATTGGAGAAAAGGAAACTGTTGGTGGGAATGTAAATTGGTGGCAGCCGCTATGGAAAATAGTATGGAGGATTCTCATAAAGCTAAATAAAGAACTACCATATGGCCCAGCAATTCCTCTCCTTGGTATATATTCAAAAACAAAAACACTAATTTGAAAAGATAGAACAGCATTGAAACATGTATAGTATCTATGGTGAAACAGATCACCAGCCCAGGTTGGATGCATGAGACAAGTGCTCAGGCCTGGTGCACTGGGAAGACCCAGAGGGATCGGGTGGAGAGGGAGGTGGGAGGGGGGATCGGGATGGGGAATACATGTAAATCCATGGCTGATTCATGTCAATGTATGACAAAACTCACTACAATGTTGTAAAGTAATTAGCCTCCAACTAATAAAAATAAATGGAAAAAAAGAGTGAAGAGACATATATACACCTATGTTCAATTCATGTTGATGTATGACAGAAATCAAACCAATGTTGTAAAGCAATCAATCAATTAAAAATAAATATTAAAAAAAAAGAAAGAAAAGATACATCCACCCCAATGTCATTGCAGCACTATTCAAAATAGGGAATATATGGAAATAACTTAAATGTCCATCAACAAATGAATAGATAAAGAGGATGTGGTGTGTGTGTGTTTGTATACACCCATTATATACATACACATGTGTGTGTGTATAGCACTTATACATGGAACTAAAAAATACAACAAATTAGTGAAATATAACAAAAAAAAACTAGACTCACAGATATCGTGCACACACTAGTGGTTACCAGTGGCAGTGGGAGGAACAATATAGGGGCTGGGGAGTGGGAGGTACAAACTGTTTGGTGTAAAGCAGGCTACACAAATGTATCGTGGGGAATATAGCCAATATTCTGTAATAACTGTAAAGGGACTGTAACCTTTAAAACTGGTACTGAAAATATAGATGGGGAAAACAAGTATATAAAAAATTTTGATAACAAAAAAGAAAAGTAAATGGATATTTAAGTCATTTGCAAACAATCTTCAATACATCCACATGGCTCTATTTTTCATTTAGGATCAAGCCCAGTCTCACTGCTTCAAGATGATTCACAACTAAATTCTAACACAATTCTGCACACACAATCGCATGGCAAGGTTTAGCCCTGACTAAGGAGTTCAGATGCTAAGTGATCAGGAACACGCCATTCCACTACCTGTATGTAACACACAGCACTTTGACATTTGAGATCATAAACCAGGGGGAATAGAAGAGCCATCCCCAGGGCCAGCTCTGGAGCAGGGAGTGCTAAGGCCAGAGGCAGGCAGTCATCAGAAATTCTGATTTTGGCGTGGGCCCTGGCAACTGGAAGACACCAGCCAGCTCTGAACACTACCACCACAAGCCACAGAGTTTGCAAAACCAGAAGAACGTACCATGCCATACTGTTTAGGAAGAGCGGTCAAGATGGAAAGCTGTCCCATGGACAGCTTTGTTTTGATTTTATTTTAATTTTTAAAAAGCATTTAATGATGTCTAGACAATGTATTCAACATTTAATAAACAGATTACTAAGGGAAAAATAGAACATGCCAATAAAATTCCAAATGGAAATAATGGAGAAGTATGTGAAACTGTTTCTTAAGGAAGATATGAAAACAAATACAATTCTATTCCTTTTCTGAACACTTTATATAATCTGAGACCATAGTATTGAACTCTGGCAGACATAGTCTATCTGGGGTAGGGCACTGTTAAAATAAAGACGCCAGGGCTCAAGCTCCCGAGCTTATTTATTCTGATTCAATAAGCTCCTGCCAAGTAATTCTGCTCCAGGTGGTCTAGGAACCACATTTGGTAAGTGGAAGTAAAACTGCCCACAGACAAGTGCAAATAAGAATTATTTGGAGAATAAAACCTACTCAGAATGGGACGTATTACATATTAATGTACAATAAACTGAAGTTATTGATCATATGCATTAGCTCAGGGATTTTAACCATGTTTTTAATTTATTTAAAACTTATTCTTAATTTGGAGGATCCTTCATTTAATTTTACTTCTTTCAAACACTGCTTTTAAATCCCAGATCCCCTTTACCTAGAATTAGGGCTTCCCAGGTGGCATTAGTGGCAAAGAATCCGCCTGCCAATGCAGGACATGCAGGAGACATAGGTTTAATCCCCGGGTCTGGAAGATACCCTGGAGAAAGATAAGGCAACCCACTCCAGCATTATTGCCTGGAAAATTCCATGGACCAAGGAGCCTGGCGGGTTACACTATGGGGTTGCAAAGAGTTGGACACAACTGAGCACGCACACATCCCCAGTACACCAAACATTTCTGGAAGAAAACTAAACTTCTGTATTCATTCAGAAGCATATCCAGCACACCTTAACAGAACTGAGAATTAATGGAAGTGTGCTATATATTCTTCAATCTTTGGTTTCTGTCTAATAATCTATATGATAAGGCACAGACTACAGGCTTTTCCTGATCCTCTAGCTAGTTCTCATGTGTTTATACTTCTCCTCTCATATTTCTTACATCCTACACGATGATGGATTTATTTGTGAAGGCCACTGGACAACATCTTTTGGTTTCAGGACCATTGTATTTTCCATCCTTGTGTATGCCCTTAGAAAGCAGCCATGAACAAAGCTGGTATAAATAAAAGTTTATTGAGTTAAGTTAAATGGAAAGCATGTATAGTCTTCTTAATAATTCCAAAGTTCATTATATGACTGTAATTCCATACTT